CATCAACTCTGCCAATGAGATCTGAAGGGAAGTATGTTAGTGCCCAGGAATAGGGACTTACTAATTAATATTTTAAGAAAGTTGGTCAAAACTGTAGCTGATTCTGTCATGATCTTAAAATAACGGGACACACTCTAGAGAGGGAATGGGAAGAGTCATCGGAAGAGAATCTGACACATTAGAATTGAAAGGAAATCAATCCAAAGAAGCAAACATTTATTGCATTCCTTAGCAGAGGGGCAGCCTGTGTTGTCTGAGGCAGCAGGGGAATGGCTGCTCCTAGTTGTTAGGAAAAGTCGTCCTCAACTGCCCCATGGTACCTTGTCATATGTAGAACAAGGGTGTCCACTTTTAAAAGGTATTTATTAATTCTTCTTTCACAGTATCCTTTTTTTTAAATGGGGGCAATTTACCACTGCGTACCAGTTTTTGTATGATGTTCAGAGTTGCTTATTGCCAGACAAAGTTCTTTATGTGCTTCATCTCACTTACTTCTCTTGGCCAGTTCAGGAGGTGGAGTCTTGGTGTCACTTTACAGGTGGAGATTCTGAGACTCAAAGTGGGTAACAAAGGAGGAGGGATTTGATCCCAGGTAGTCTATGCATGTAGTCATGATGCTCTACTGCTTCTAGAGTATCTCCTGCCAATAAAGAGTCCCATGAAATGGCCAACAAGAGTGGGTAAGTTAAATGCTCTATGTCATAGGACAGTGGGTCTCATCCCCATTTGGGGCCCTCACACCTGGGTACATCCTGCCTGGCCCCACCACTGACACTCGTTGCCTGGGTCAGCAATTCTTTCTCTCTCTCTCTTTTTAAGTGAACTCTACCCCCAGCATGGGGCTTGAACTCACAACCCAGAGATCAAGAGTCGTGTGCTCTACTGACTGAGCCAGCTGGGCACCTCCGAGTCAGCAATTCTCTGTGGTAGGAGTGAGTGTGACTTGATGTAGTCTGAAGAAACCCTGACCCCTCAGGTGATGTTTATATGACCTATTAAAGGTCCTGCAGGAGAATCCTGTTGTTTAGAATACTCACTGAAAAGGGGGTGGGGTGCAGAATTAAAGCAGGTCACCAAATAGTAAGTATGGTATAATCTCATTTTGGTAAACATGTGTAGGTAAGGTATATGTGTGGAAGAGCATTAACCAAACTGCTAACTGTAATCTTCACGCTTTCTATATTTGCCATCTATCTTGTTTCAAGAGAAAACAAGCAAACTTAATAAAAACAATGTTCAGGAAGCAAACCCCTGGGGTTATTTCAGGGAGCCATTGGCTGAGAAGTGACAGTCTTGCAGTTATTTGTGTTCCAGGAAATTGGCAGCCCTTGGAAGAATGACAATAAAACTCTTTACCATGGGTGGTGCTTCAGGGAGAACAAAGATTTCTGGAAAAGCAATACACTTTCTGGAGAAAGCTGGCTAACCAGGAAGGCATCTGGTTTGGGGGGGTGGGGTGGGCAAAGCCAAAACTTCAAATACGCTCTTTGTTCAAATTTACGAAAAGGGGTGCTCACCAAGAACAGAACTCTGTAGGAACCTAAATTTTTCCTAATTTCCATAATTATACCTCAAGCCCCTATGTGCTACATGTGTATCCATGATGTAGCAGAATGCTGTTTCTGTGGGGTTTGTTCACCTTGTACAGCCAAGAGTCACAGTAGAGACAAGAGACATGAACGAACCAGAGGTCTGCTTCTCTTGTAAACTGTCACAGAGTGAAATGCACAGATGCTGTGGGGACACACTGCAAGCTACCACCGGACTAATGATGAAGTTAAACACGCAGAGAAAGTAGAGGATATGATTTAAAATCATCCTAATGTAAAAGGCAGGGGTGATGAGACTCTGCAAGTAGGAAAGAGAAGGAAAAAGTTGATGGTTTTGTGCTATATCCAACAAACAGATTTTATTTATGTCTACAGACAATGCATTAAAAATATCTGATGTCATTCATCTATTCAACTATTTATTGAGCAGCAATCCCGGGGAGGTATGGTGTTCGGGGACACATCTCAGGGACACGACATCCTTCTACCTTGTTGCTTTATTATTTTTTTTAATTTAAGATTTTTATTTATTTATTTTTGGGAAAGATAAGGGGGGAGAGAGAGAGAGCACAAATGGCGGGGGGTGGGGGAAGGGGCAGAGGGAGAAGCAGACTCCTCACTGAGCAGGGAGCTTGATGTGGGACTTAATCCCAGGACCCTAGGATCATGACCTGAGCAGAAGGCAGACGCTTAACTGACTGAGCCACCCAGGCGCCCTACCTTGTTGCTTTCGCTTGTATGGCCTTAAGCTCATGGTCAAAGATGGTGACATCTGTGTTTCATGTAGCAGGACAGAGGAAGCAAAAAAAAGAAATTGCTATCACGTGACATTCCTTTCTATTTCTGCCTACAAGGAGACCAGAAAATATCTTTGTGCTTGGTAGCTGTAAAAATATTGGGGTATCTATTACCACAGATGAATGAGAGAATGGATATTGCAGTACAGGTAGTACTCCCGGCCATAAGCATCTATTGCAGGGTATCTCAACCTTGGCAACACTGACATTTTGGGTGGTTTTGGTGGGTATCGGCTGTCCTGTGCATTGTAGATCGGGCTTAGCAGCATCCCTGGCCTCTACCCACCAGGACCATTCCCCTAGTTGTGAAAAACAAAACCTCCTGAAGCATTGCTAAATGTCCCTGGGAACAGCTTCCCTACTCCCAATTGAGAAACACTGTTCTATTGTGCATAGGAACTATGTTCGTCACTGTGCAGGAGACAACACCAAACCAAAAGTGAAATAATTTCAAACAGTGATAAGAGCTATGATGAAAATAAAATAAGGTCAAGGCAGATCGGGTTGGAATGGAGGATGTACTGTGGACTCAAAAGCCCTGAAAGAAAAGATCTTGGCTTCTCATAAGAAGAATCAGAGTGTAGGTGTGGTTGGAAGGAAATGGGGACCCTGGTGAGGTGTCGGTAATGGGATCTTTAAGCAGGGAATGATGATTCGCGAGAGCACACACTAGGAGAGGAGTAAGAGAGAACGCAGGGAGACCAGTAGAAACCTGTCACAGTCGTCCAGGTGAGAAAGGAGGATGGCTTGGTTTGGCAGTGGAAACAGTGCGAAATAAAATTGCTGGAGAAAAAGAACGAAGATAGCAGCTGCCTATGGCAATCTTTGATTTGCCCAAATAGCTGCTGGGGAGGCCAAGTGGTGTTAAAGGGTGTCTATTTCGCACACATTGTGAGGTTCAGTCCAGCCCACTATAGATTTGTGCTGTTTGTTCTGTGTTAGTTCCATCCTAAGGCTGCTGTAATACATTACCACAAACTTGGTGGCAAAAAATTTTATTGTCTCATAGTTCTGGAGGCTGGAAGTCCAAAAATCAGTCTCACTGGTGTCTGCAGGGTCATGTCCCCTCCGGAGGCTCTGGGAGAATCTGTTCCTTGCCTCCTCTAGCTCTGGTGGTTACAGCACTCCAGTCTCTGCCTCTGTGGTCACATTGACTTCTCCTCCTCTGTGTGGGGACATCTTCCTTGCCTCTTTCTTGTAAGTGTGTTTGTGACTGTATTTAGGGCCCATCCAGATTATTCAGGACAATCTCTCTACCTCAAGATCCTTAATCACATTGTTTGCCATATAAAGTAATACTTAAGCCATGGAAGAGAGTATTTCCAGCTTCCAGGGATTAGGGCATGGATAATTTCTGAGGGGCTGTCTTTCAGGGCTGCAGTGTTAGAAATCACTTTGGCTATCCTGAGGAAGGCATGTTTGTTTAGTGAATAAGGTGGAAAGCACTACTGTGGAATAATAAAATGCCACTTAGTAAATTGATTAGAGAAAGAAATGCAAAAAAAAAAAAAAAAGAAAGGAAAACTGAATTTTTGTAAATGGCGTTTTCAAGAATTCTAGGAAAGATAGGCCAAAGGATAAGAAAGTTCAGAAAAAGAGGCCATTCAGCTGTGGTGGGGCAGAGCAGGGCGGGACGGCGAGAAGGCAGTAGACAACGGAACGAGAATGCAGGACCAGACCAAGCCACAGAGGCAGAGCGAGACAACGGGCGGGCGCGTGCAAGCCGCTGGGGCGGGGAGGCTGCAGATTTCTAAAACTGAGGGTTGAGATCTAAGGTCACTTAAACATAAACTCTATTTTTTTTTAAAAGATTTTATTTATTTATTTGAGAGAGAGCTTGAGAGCAAGAGCACCCTAGCAGGGGGGAGAGGTAGAGGGAGAGGGAAAAGCAGACTCCCCGCTGAGCAGGGAGCCCAGTGCGGGGCTCCATCCCAGGACCCCGGGATCATGGCCTGAGATGAAGGCAGACGCTTAACGACTGGGCCACCCAGGCGCCCCTTAAACGTACCCTTTAAAGCTTAAGTGCTTTCTGGTAATCTTTCAAATTCTCATGCTCTTCAAAGGGTGCTCAGGCTTTCCCCTTGCTGCACAGTCTGAAAAACTATGAGGATCATTGTAGCATCTTAATTTACATAATAATCCTGACCTAAATGTTATTATTCTCATTTTGGAGATGAGGAAATGGAAGTCTAGCAAGTTTGAATAATTTGTTCAAAATCACACAGCTAAATTAGTGATAAGGCTGGGATTCGATTTTAGTTCTGCCAACTCTAAAGCTATGGATCTTCTCCTTCTCTATTATTTTGTCACTAGACTTGATTTCTGTGCCCGGGAGGCCAGGATCACAAACGCCTGGTACCTTCATATTAACCCACTCTGTTATTTCTGAGGCAATACTCTGAGCTGTCCCTATTCAGTTTCCTCCTACTTGAGCACTCCCCTTCCTTGTTATTCAGGGCGTTGTCAGCCCATATGGTCTCACTCCAGCGCTCACTCCTGTTAAACGTCTCCTGCATGTCTGTGTTCTAGCAGTAGCTCCTGACTTTTATCTGAAATAAAATTCTTACGTATTTGCTCATTTCATCTATGTTACAATGACCAAAATTAGATATGCATGAAGTCAGTGTTAAAATGAAAAGAAACAACAAAGGATGAAACAGATACTGGGAAAGTAAAAACTCTGGTCATTATTTTCCATTTTTGTTTATATTTAGGTCTTTATGAGACAAGGAAGATGACTTTCATGTCTAAACACTGAACAACCTAAATCATATTAATACTATTACAATCACTATCATGTTCTAGAGGAGATTCTAAAGGAATATGAATGAAAAAATAGCATTTAAGATTGTTTTCAGAATACAGATACACCTCAGAGAAACTGTGACCCCATTGTATGTATATTTGAGGTAATATTTGTATAATTAGTAACTCTCACGGCGATGGGAAACATTGCTCTTTGCATATGTTGTACATTAGCTTTCTAAGTCAAGAATTCCACATTGCTGTAAAATAATTTTAAGTTCAGTGTATGGCAGTTATGCAAATAGATGTAAACTTCAATACCAGAGGAACCTCAAAAAGGTGTAACACCTACTAATTATGTATTATTAACACAAATGTCAACAAAAAGTCCAACAGATATAGAAGCACAGTAACAAAAATATAATTATCAATATAGCTGTCTTATAAGAGTAGACTATAGTATCATCAGGCTTATAAAAAACAACTAAGGTCATCGTTTTTATTTTTTGCTCATTATGACCCTTCCCTGTACATACAGTGGCTAATTCTGATCATTTATCCTTACTTAATCTCCCTATGAACAAATTTGCTGATACTGAATACTATTTTCAAATATATCAGCATTATCATCATCTCATTAAATAGGTTATTATTATTACTGAAAACTCATCAAAGCATTTAAGGCTATTAATGGTTTCATCAACTTAAAAATCTAGTTTTGGAAGTAACTGGTTATAAATTTGTCCTTTTATTGGTAAACAGCAACTATACACCAGTGTTACTCTCAACTGAGACATCGCAATAGCGTGCTTATCATGCTTACATTTTACATGAGGGCTGGAATACAGACTTTATAATAGATCTGAAACATCATCAAATATTGTTACCATGCTGTTACGATAACAACCTACATGTGGCATTAAAAATATTATTGGCTAGCTGCAAATAGTACCTTTTTCTGAACTGAATTTTAAATGTTCTAGAGGCTAACATGATAACAAATTGATCTTCACATGGCGTCGCACAATCTTCTTTCAAAGTTCACAGGCCCTTCTTACTGTCTTTCCCCAAACAATTCTGCAGGGGAAAAAAAAAAAAGACTTAGGTAAGTAGTTACAACAAAAAGTGAAGAACAGATTCATAGATGTGAATCTGAGCATAAAGAAAAGAGCATAAAAATGCTCTTTTCTGTGTATGGTTATTAATTATGAGGATAATCAAATGTGAAAACATGGGTTGAGAAAGTCTCAAACTTAAAAAAAACTACAAAGTTTGTGAGTTTTATTTGAAAAAAAGTCTAGAGGGGAAAAATAACACTCTTGATAAATTCATTTATTTCCCTGCCTTAATCGATTTTGCTTTTGTTTCACAGGTTATACCAGGAAAACAAAATTTCTCAAATTCCCCTCTTACAAACCCAATTAAGATTTTTGGCAAGGAAAGAATAAAGGGACCCAAAAACCCCAGATGGGATGGCCTTTTTTGTGTGTTTGTCTTCAGATATTTGCCAACAGAACTGACTTCTCAGATTATACTCTTTGCTGATCACAAGATGATTATAATATATCATTTAAACCTGGAGGAAAATGGGATAGAAATGAACCTTAAAAGATCATTTGCACTTAAGAAAGCAAAAGTCTACACTGAGGAAAAAAAAACACCTCATAAAATGGAGTTGACGTGCTACTGCTTGCACATGAGAGGTTCACCAAGCTCTTGCTCAGGCTGAGCAGTAATGCCTGCAGAGCAACTTTAACAATGTTAACATTAACCAACCAAATCAGAAGACAGGATTAGAGGAGGTATTTTGAATAAGGTACCACTTTCACATGTTTGTATGTATCTTGTCACTTTAGGTAAAAATCACAGCTTTGCCTACCGAATGGGAAGAGATATTTGCAAATGATATATCTGACAAGGGGTTAATACCCAAAATATATAAAGAACTTACGCAACTCAACACCAAAAAACTGAAATAATCGGATTAAAAATGGGCAGAGGACCAAAATAGACATTTTTCTAAAGAAGACCTATGAGTGGCCAACAGACACGTGAAAAGATGCTTAACATCACAGTGTGGAAAATGCAAATCAAAATCACAATGAGGTATCACCTTACACCTGTCAGAATGACTAGGATCAAAAACACAAGAAATATTAGTGTTGGCAAGGAAGTAAAGAAAAAAAAAAAACCTCATGTGCTGTTGGTAGGAATGTAAACTGGTGCAGCCACTGTGGAAACAGTATGGAGGTTCCTCAAAAAATTAAAAATAGAATTACCATATGATCCAGTAATTCCACTTTTGGGTATTTACCCAAAGAATACAAAAACACTAATTCAAAAAGATATATGCACTCCTCTGTTTATTGCAGCATTATTTACAATAACCAAGATATGTAAACAATCCAAATGTCCATCCATAGACAAAAAGATAAAGATGATGTGATGTGTGTGTGTGTGTGTGTGTGTGTATGTGTGTAAGGGAACATTACTCAGCCACGAAAAAGAACAAAATCTTGCCATTTGCAACAACATGGATGGAGCTACAGAGTATAATGCTAAGCAAAATAAGTCAGATAGGGAAAGACAAACACCATATGATTTCACTCATATGTGGAATTTGAGAAACAAAACAAATGCACAAAGTAAAAAAGAGACAAACAAAAATACAGACTCTTAAATACAGAGACCAAACCAGTGGTTGCCAGAGGGGAGGTGGGTAGGGGGATGGGTGAAACAGGTGATGGGGATTAAGAGTACACTTGTGATGAGCCCTGAGAAATGTACAGAATTGTTGAATCATTATATTGTATGTGTGAGACTAATATAACACTGTATGTTAATTATATACTTCAATTAAAAACAAGGAAATAATCTTGTACTTATCCAAAATAAAAGTGGACATAAAGATTAAAAAAAAAAATCACTGCTTTAATGGAGCTGTTATTCTGGATAAGTCCCTTAAGTGAAGGGTGATTTTCCAAAATGAAATTTGAAAACTGGCAAATGCTGATGGGTTTGTGCTGCCCATAATCCTCAGTTAGTTTTGCTTTTCTTTTCTAGAAGACAGCCAGGGCAAACAAGGAAAGGCAAAGACTGTGTCCTGAAGGGATTGTTTTCTAATATTTATTTAGTGCTTATATCAGGGAAGGGGATCAGATGGGGAAATCCAAACGGATTTTAAAAATGCAAATTGCGATTCATTTATGGTAAGGAAACCAGCTTTCCCCTCTTTCACCTTTATTTCCTTAATAGTTTAATGGTCATTTTATTTAAAGTAAATCAACTTGGAAAATTGAGAAAGCTCAGTTTCCCAAGGAACTTTAAAGATAAAATTCAATTATTATAAGGTTGGTTTGACAACAGAAGTAAAATTCATGAAATGCAAGTTAATACAGCTTTTTACTATAGACGGTCTACAGCAATTTTTTTGCTTCTTAAGTAGAGTTCAGAAGGTGAATATCAAAGTGTATGAGTCGCTTTTAAGAAAATGGTAGTCATTTAATGACACTTAAATCTCAGAATCTTCTATAAGGTCTCACAATGGACAATGGAGGGTGAGTGGGAAAAAAATATGTCCAATCAAGAAATAACTGCTAGCGTCTTATGGGAACATAGAGCTTTTCTTGTTTAAAAATATTTAAAGTGCCTTCTTGTACTGTACAGGATCTGGTTTGATGCTCATAAGGTATTATAACCTTCATTTAAGTAATGAAGAAGCCAAGGTGCATGGATGTCAAAGCATCCATCTGAGGTTTACAGAACTGGCAAACTATGGAGCTGAGAGGTCTTTTTTTCTTCAAACAGATATTTATTGTGGGAAATTGGTTTTACAGGTGATGAAAGAGTAGACACATGGGGCAGTGTGGTAAGACACCTCAATGATTAGCACAGAACCACCACCACTCTTTGGGCTGGAGGGACAAGGGAGGAGATAGTGTTATGGACCCAGGAGCTAGGGTCACCATGTGGAAGTTGCCCAGTGCGTACTGGGACCATGGAAAGAGATGGGGCTGCTGCAGATGCCACCCGAAACAGAGAGAGTGGGAAAATTCCCTGGCTTTGTCCCTTTGCCTTCAGTCTCCTACTGGTGCCTCCTATTGCTGAACCTGCCCAGAAGAGAGCCAGGGGGTTGGGAAATATAGCCCTCTGAGATCAAGTAGAGCAGAAGTAGGAAGACAGTGGATCCAAGAACACAGTCCAATGACCAGAACAGGCCGAGCAGCAGAGTTCTTAATGATGGGGATCTGGAGAAAAATTTCCTGATTTTTGAATCCAGCTTTGAATCCTACCAATTTCCAGTTCAGTGACTTCAGGTACATTATATAACACCTCTGGGTCTTGTTTTCTTCATGCACAAAATAGGGTATTAAAATATTTTAACTTAGTGGGCTGTGATAAGAGTAAACAGAGTAACATATATGAAGCCATTAATGAAGTGCTTGGTCCAGGGCATATCTTCAATAAATGTCACCTATTACATATCTCAAAAATAAAAGAAGAAAGTAGATCAAGGCCTTAAATGCATTAGTGATCAAGGCCCAATTCTCAGCATGGCACTTGGCATTTCCGGGACACGTCATTTTTCAAAGAAACAGGTTTAACAACTTTTTTCTGGGGAAGGAGTTACTCCGAACAACTTTTTAACATCTGTTATCAAGAATGCATAAGCTCCCAACAGAAGGGGTTTCTGGGAGGGGAAAGAAAATGGGTTGAGGGAGTCTCACTGTCACATATACTTTTCAGGGATTAAGAGATCATTAGCTGTTACCACAATGGGGACATTCAGCGATGGCCACTGGCCACAAGAAAATGAGGGAATATTCCTGCTTCTTTTTTCTCCATTCAGGGATCTAAACATTTCCGACCTCTCGGCAGAGTCCACTGGTGTGGACATTCATCCTTTTGAGTACACCCTGACCTCTCCAATGGAAGGGAGAAAAAGTTCTATTTTTAGGCCAAAGGCTCCTGAAGTGTTCCTTCACTTTCCATGGCAGATCTTGAAGGATGCTCTGGAGTAATTCTCATCAGGCCATGGTGAAGTCAGCAATTTCAGGACCTGTGTTTCAGAGATGGGGAAAGGGTGGTCTTGCTGAACATCTAACCACCTACTCTAGAATATGTGAACTGAGCTCTTGGTGTCCTAGGTTTGAGCACAAGGGCACAGAATGATGCCCATTCTTGCCCTTCTCTGGATTGCCCTATTGTCAAAGTAGGTTAGTTAACTTAAACATGCAACTCAGCTAGAATACTAGATAACAGATGGGTTTTGGATTGCTTTTTGACTGGCTCTAAATCAAGGTTAAAGTGGCTGGTTGAGAATAAGTCATTCTTCTAGCACAAGTTCTACAGAGGAATGTATGCTGATGATGACAATGATAATTCTAATAGGTATCATTTCTTGAGTGTCTCCTACCAGCCAGGCACAACACTAAATACCCTACACATTCTATTTAATTCTACTGAAAACCCAGTGGGCCAGGTGTTATTATTATTCTGATTTTACAGATGAAGAAAAGTGAGCTGCAGAGGGGTAATGTAACTTGCTTGGATCATAAAGCTAGTTAGTATGAGAGTCTGAGTTATTCCAGGTTGGTCTGACTCTAAGGTCTGTCAGTATAGTACCTGCCTGCCTTTTGCCAGGCACAGTGCAAGACCCTGGAGATACAATGACCAGTAAGACACAGGGAAATGGGTCCTGGGACCAGGGCTTCTCCTATAGTGAAGTAACTAATGAGCTGTAATTGCTAAAAAGCCCTGATTGAAAGCCACAAAAGCTGCCAAATTCTCAGGATAAACCCAAACTGAAAGCAGCAGAGCAGAGCCTCTCATCTCAGAAGGAACTGGGGGGGCGGGCAGGGCTGCCCCTGGAATGGTCTTTCCCCCAAATTCTCCCCACATGTGGTCAAAGTGTGGCTGGGAAATCAATTGAGATTAGGGGCTGCCAAATCAAGAGGGAAGCGATAGTCACATTTAGCATGGATGAATGCAGGCCACGGGCTCTTGCTGGGCTGGAGGGGAAGAGAAAGAAAAGCTATAGATCGCCCTTGACTCTGTGACTTAATAACAAAAAGGTTTTTTCCATTTCTGTCTTTAAATCCATGTTGGAGGCAAATCATGTATTTGAATGCCATAGGTTTTGACCCAAGATGTCTAAAACACTGGGACAGAAGTAGTGTGAGGTGGCACTTCAAATTTTGACCTTATATTCTGTCACGAATAGAGCAAACACTGCCAATGGCAAAATGAAATGTTTACAGAACCAGTCTGTTTTTCAATGCTGTCACTTTTGTGGCTCAATTCTTTCGCTTAAAATTTCACTAAAACTAGAATGCTCTATGTTAGCATGTCGGTAATTCTCTATGCTATGACTGTCTTGTATTTTCATGCAATGTCCTCATCTTCACCATCCAGGTAAAAATCTGGTTTCCTTAATCATTTTTAAGAAGCCAGGACTGAGTGAATCCTCTTGATTTGGGAAGGGCAAATAACCCAAATAATTACTTAGTAATTATTATTTCAAAAAACTTAGGTCCACAAAGTTGAGGTCACCCACCTGAAGTTCTGCATGTTCTTTCAGGAGTCGGTCGTATTCTTTTGAAAGTCGCTCTGATTGCATTCTCATTGTCATCACATCATTCTGTGCCTTAGAGAGGGCTGGAAAACATGGAATAGAATTTTTAAATTTTTATTTTGAAATAACTTTAAATTTACAGAAAAGTTGCAAGACTTAAATAGGAAACTCCTTTGTAGCTCTTGCTCAAATTCACCAACTGTTAAGATGTGGTACATTTGTTACTGTATTTTCTCTCCACACACGCACAATTATTTTCTTGAACCATTTGAGTATAAGTTACAGACATCATGCCCCTTTACTCCTTAATGCTTGTGTATTTCCTAAGAACAAAGGTGTTCTCTAACATAACCATAGCATTGTTAGCAAATGTAGGCAATTTAACATCAATACTTTTTATCTAATCTACCATTCATGTTCTAATCTTGGCTACTGTCCCAATTATGTCCTATCATTTTTTTTGAGTCTAGATCCAGCCCTAGATCAAAGATTAACATTAAGTTGTCATGTTTCTTTGGCTTCCTTTAATCTGGAATAGTTCCTCAGTCTTCCCCCTGCATTCCTCTCCCCTTTCACAACACTGACATTTCAAAGAATACAGGTCATTTTTTTTTAAATGGAATGTTTTTCATTTTGGTTTTGTCTGATGTTTCCTCATGATTAAATTTAGGTTATGCATCCAACTTACATACAAATATGACATAAGTGATGCTGAATTCTGTCAAGGTATCACAATCAGAGGCCCATCTGCCTCTCATGGGTTTTTCCATTTTATACTTATTTTCTTCCTTATAACTAAGAAGCAGCATGTGGGAAGACGAGACTATGTAAGTATCTTGCTCCTTGCCAAAACTTTCCCCTTATAGTTAGCATCCACTGATAATTCTTGCCTAAACCAATCTTTATTGTGATGGTTGCACAATGGTGATCTTCCAGCTTCACCATTCCATCCACATTTATCAGTCAGCATTCTACTATAAACAAGGGCCTTCCTTTCTTATCCATCCATCCAACTATCTATTAATTCATATATCATCAGTATGAACTCATAGGTTCTTATTTTTTCAACAGTTTATAATTCATTATTATACTTAATTCCTCCCAGATATGGCTAGTGGGAACCCTGTCAGGCTGGCTCTTACATCTTCTGACTATGCCCCTATTATTTTTTGAGTACTCTACTTTCTGGCATAAGATGTTCTAGGCTCATCCTAACTTTTCCCTGATTCATCCTGGATTCAAGCATTACAGTACAGAATTTATTAGAAGGGTATGTTTTTAAAAAAAAATTGAGGAAGAAAAAAATATTTTATCATTCTCACCAAGGGATGAGTGGCCATATTTCCTTCAAAGCAAAGATAATCACTTTCTTATACAAAGTTGAAAAATATAGGGGTGTGTGACACTTAAAGGCTTTACCTCAATATGATACACAAAAATGGCTCTATATTAGCCTCTGTCTACCAAGGAGCTACAGTCTAAGACAGTAGACAGAAGTTTAAAAAATATACGTATATATCGTAAACATTTAAGTCAGCACATTATGGAGAACTTAGTGAGCGAATGTATAGAAAGGAAGATCAGCACAAGATGGACTGGAAAAATTCTGGGACTCTTGAACGAACTCCACATATAAGTCTGCATATGTAGTCTTTAAAAGTTCTGCATTTGTAAATCTTTTAGGGTAGAAGTTTTAGTAAAAGAAAGTGGGATTTATAAGAGTCACTTTTTAGGCACAATGGAATGAAATTATAGGCTCTATTTATAAACAGTCTGGTTACCTTTCCTCTTGAAAAGCCACCATATGGGCATTTTTATATATAAGTCACTTTCAACTAAAGTGGCTTTTGTATCAGCACTTTCTAGACAATGTTGTCAAATTAAACTCCTGTACTGTAGAACATTTACTGGACAATGCAGATGTAGAACATCTGTGCTGTGTAATATGGCAGCCACTAGCCAAATGTAGCTATTAAGCACTTGAAATGTGGTTAGTGTAACTGAAGAACTGAATTTTAAATCATACTTAATTTTTAAACATATTTTAATTAATTCATTTATTTATTTGGAGAGTGTGAGGGGGGCAGAGGGAGAGGGAGAGAGACTCTCAAGCAGATTCCATGCCAAATGCAGAGCCTGTTGTGAGACTTGATCTCAGGACCCTGAGATCATGACCTGAGCTGAAATCAAGAGTTGGATGCTTAAACAACTGAGTCACCCAGGTGCCCCAATTATACTTAATTATAATTAAATTTTGATTTAAATAGCCATGTGTAGCTAGTGGGTAGCCATACTGGATAGCTCTACACTATGATTTCCTCCATGTTACTTTTATAGATCTGTAACTCTAAGTTAGGTATTAAAGGCTAAATTTAACAAATTTAATGTGCCACTTGGTAAAAGTATAGGTTAGGTATGGAAGAGAGATTTTTGATACCGGTCAGATTTCACTGGAACCACAGCCACAACATGATTTATTTATTAGTCTTCAATTTGGGTTATCTATAAGGCATTTCCTAGAGCCTACTTGAAAATATGAAACACAGTGTTAACTTCAAGACCTTACCAAAAATGTTTAAAAGCCTGGATTCCTGGTATGTAAAAAGCAAAGAAGATTCTACAACTTAGTAATATCTGATTAGCCTACAATGGTGGTCCAACATGGGTCCAAGAGGGTCCTGCCGGAAAGGAAGATCCTGAGCTTACCTCCTCCCATGGACAACAAATCTATAACCACGTGTGGAATAATTCCCTCTGAAGGGGACCTCGAAACTGGATGAACAGACCCTCTACAACAAGGGACAGCACTGAGATGGATAGAAGAAGCAGAGGTATAGTCTCACTAAGGAAAAAAGCCACATTCTAGGAGTGGCATTCTATGATACAGAGGGATCTCAAAGATAATGAACATTTTCCTGAGGAGTAAGAGATTTTAACTCCACATTAGGTATGCAAACCCTCAGATCCTGCACAGAAGAGACAAGCCTCCAAAATACCTGGCTTTGAAAACCAATAGGGAATATGTCCACGAAAAAGAATTGCAGGGGGGGGGGATATCCTCTTAAAGAGCTCTAATGTAGACTTACTTGACCCAGAAATAAGCGCAAAAACACCAGATCAAAATTATATGGACTACAGGTGAAGGAGACCCACTTACTAAACTTGAAATGCCTGCTGGAGAGACAGGAGGTAGCTGGGCCTCTCCTTGGAATCCTCCCTGTAGACTGCTAATGTCAGGGGGTGCAAACCACTGGTGTCTTGGTCAGTTCTGCTCACTAGTACATCTGTAGCTGTCAAAGTCAGGTATGCAGCCAGGTGGGCTGGGAGCCAGACCCAGCTACCAATGTGCCCATGGCAGTACTGCCCCTGTCACATCAGGAGTGTACATGCAGCCCACATGGGGGACACCCCAGGAGCACCTGGTTCTGGTGACCAGAGATTGTACTTCTAGGCCCCATAGGACATTTCCTACATAAGGCCACTCCTTCAAGACTGAGAAATATATGTTGTGATGGACACTGGGTGTTGTATGTAAGTGTTGAATCACTGGATTCTAAACCTGAAATTAATATTGCACTGTATGTTAACTAAGTATAATTTAAATAAAAACTTCAAAGAAAAAGAAAAAAAAGACTGGGAAATGTAGTTGAACTACCTAAAAACAAATACAGAGTTAGGCCAGATGAGAAGACAGAGAAATGTGTTCCAAACAAAAGAGTAAGACAAAACCTCAGAAAAAGAACTAAATGAAAGGGAGTTAAGCAATCAACCTGATAGAGAGTTCAAAGTAATGGTCACAAAGATGCTTATCAAACTCTGGAGAAGACTAAGTGAATACAACAAAGAGAAAATATAAGAAAGTACTATTCAGAGCTGAAGAATACAATAACAGAAATAAAAAAATACACTAGAGGGGATAAACAGAAGATTTGATAATACAGAAGAAAAGATTAGTGATCTGGGTAATGAAAATCACCCAAACTGCGGTGCCTGGGTGGCTCAGTCAGTTAAGCATCTGACTCTTGATTTTGGCTAGGTCATGATCTCAGGGTTGGGAAATTTAGCCCTGCATTGGGCTCTGCACTGGGCATGGAAACTGTATGAGATTCTCTCTCTCCCTCAGTCCCTAACCGCCCTCCCAACCCTGCTCGTGTGTTCTTCTCACTCTCTCTCAAAAAAAAAAAAAAAAAAAAAAAAAATCCCCCAAATGGAACAAAAAAGGGATCCCTGCTCTGCGGGAAGCCTGCTTTTCCTTCTCCCACTCCCCCTGCTTGTGTTCTTTCCCTCGCTCTGTCTTTCTCTGTCAAATAAATAAATAAAATCTTAAAAAAAAAAGAAAAAAAAGAAGAAAAAAAAAAAAAAGAAATCATAGCTGAAAAATTCCCTAAGCTGAGGACCTTCCCAGGCCTAAGAAGCACAGCTTCCAAACAAGATGAACTCAAAAGAGATCTACACCAAGACACATTATAATTAAAATGTCAAAAACTAAAGATAAAGAATCCTAAAAGTAGCAAGAGAAAAGCCAATTAATTGCATATAAGGGGATTCCCATAAGGCAATGAGCTGATTTTTCAGCAGCAACTTTGCAGACTAGCAGAGAGTGGCACAATATATTCACAGTGCTGAAATGAGAAAACATAACCAAGAATACTCTAACTGGCAATGTTATCATTCAGAATTGGAGGGGAAATACAAAGTTTCCCAGCCAAATAAAAGTTAAAGGAGTTAACCACTACTAAACCAGCTTTACAAAAAATATTAAAAGGATTTCTTTAAGAGGAAAAGAAAAGGCCATAATTAGAACTAAGAAAATATATGGAAAAAAAAAATCTCACTGGTAAAGGTAAACATACAGTGAAGGCAGTAGATCAACCACCACTTATAAAGCTAGTATGAAGGTTAAAAGACAAAAATAGTAAGTAAACTATAACTACAATAATTAAAGATACACAAAATAAAAGGATGTAAAACATGATGTCAAAAACATAAAATATTGGGGGTAGGGAGAGTAAAAATGTAGTGTTTTTAGAATCTGTTCAAGCTTAAGTGATCGTCAATTTAAAATAAACTGCTGTGTACACAG